AAAACAAAAACAAAACAAAACAAAAATGTTTTTCGGAAGCAATTCAAATTGAATAGATAATTCACCAAAAAATCAAAATCAGAGAGATTGAATGGTAAAAAAGCAGTTGTAGAGGGAGCGCGCGCGCGCGCGCGCAAGAGAGAGAGAGAGAGAGAGAGAGAGAGAGAGAGAGCACCTGGGAGTTTATTGCTAACTTTCCAAACTGAAGATCTTACTTTTGAAGCAATTGTCATCCAAATTCTTCCCTAAAAACCCAACATATGAAATCAGTATATCTCCAGGTAATCCAGTAACAATACCCAACATTGATAGTAACAATAACTTAATCAATCGACTAGAGCATGAGTAACCAAAGGGATTCTAACTTCTATGGCTAGCTCTTTGGCCACCAAATCTCTCCTAAGGGGAGGTTTTGGTTTCGATTGGAATTGGGAGGCAAGTTAAGTGCGCCCAAGTACTTATCTAATAACCAACTTTCGCCAATGAAAAAAAAAAGTTTATCCAATAACTTAGCTATATGTATTATCTTCAAGAAATAAGAAGACCCAACATTGAGAAAAAATAACCAAAACAAAAGAAAGAAAATGACAGAGAAATTAAAAACACACACAAAAAAACAAACAAACAAAAGATTACATGTTAATAAGAACTGAACAGTTGTCCATCCCTTTGTCTGTGACGAGACACCAACTTTGCAGCCCAACTTTTTTTTTTTTTTGAAGTTCCAAGGAGGGAGATAGCTAGCATTGTCATGCGTGCAACTCAACAATGGTGTTCATGAACTAGATGTTGTCTAACATGACCTCTAGAGAAAAATTCATGTCACATTGTATCATATAAGCTGTCATGATTGAACAAAAACTTCATCTCATATGTCCCCTCCCTGATATTAAACAGAAACTGACCATTGTGTCCAGTTTTGCGACCAGTTTCTGTGTTTGTAGACTTATTCTTGTTAATTAGAACAACAAGTTCTCCTGCTCAAATTACTCGTATAGTCTCCGACATTAATGGTTGTGCCCTGACCCGGAAGCCCAGTGGCTGCCTCCTGAGCTGCCAGTGCCTTCTTGCTGATTATCTGATAAATGTCCAATAAGATTGTTTGGAACGCCTTCTCAATGTTGGGTGCCTCCAGGGCTGAGGTCTCCAGGAACGAAAGGCCTTCCTTCTCGGCCAGGAGCTGGGCGTCTTGGTCTGAGACTGCTCGGAGGTGGTTCAGGTCAGACTTGTTTCCAGCCATCATGATGACGATGTTGGAATCAGCATGGTCCCTCAGTTCGCGGAGCCACCTCTGGACATTTTCGAAGGTCTGCCTCTTGGTTATGTCATAGACCAGGAGGGCTCCCACTGCACCTCTATAGTATGCACTTGTGATGGCTCGATACCTCTCTTGACCTGCTGTGTCCCATATTTGGGCCTTCACTGTCTTGCCCTCTACCTGCAACCAAAATAGTTAAAGCTAAATTTGCAAGAAATATCATATAGTGTACATATATACAATGCACACAATAAATCTTACATTCGCACACATCAAAACTTATGTCGTTGTCTACTTGTTGCTATTGTGTGTGTTCTGTGGTGCAAGAATGTATCAAAACGATTACAGAGATGGTAAGACTATCTCTGACCAGATTGTAGTGACTGTTAGATTTGTGCTATGTCTTCTTAGAGATGTAAGAAGTAGTCAGTTCAATAAATTAAGCAATATGAATGGCGAATTCTGAATTTAATCTCTGTAGATAATTTCTTATTGATCTTTGTAGATAATCTTTGTAATTGTGGGAGCATTTTATGGTGTTTGTCTCTGACTCTTTGGATAATCTAATAATGGATGGTGTGGATAACTACAGTGGATTTGCATGTTGTGGGTTCTGTGCCTGCCTCTGGGTGATGTGTCTTCTTTTGTTTTGGATTTGTTAATTGCTATTTGTTTTTTTCAGTGATGCCAATTATATTGATGTGTATTTTCTGCTCTTTTATAAAATTATCTTGCTTTCTTGAAAAGATTAAATCTTACATTTGTATAAATATGTGTCCTTAACAAGGTTACCTAATGATAATACAATAATCATAATAGAACACCAACATGAAATGTGGTGATCCCAATAAAGCCCAGCCAAAAGGGATGAATGGGACCTGCCTTGTCTCCAACTCAACTGACCAAGATAGGTCAAGTTTGTTCCATCCATTAAGTAAAAAAGTAACATAGACAATGTTATAACAACCATGCCATGTCTATGTAAATTGTTGAGTCATCTATTTGGTGAAGTAACTCTCTATATATAGTAATACAAACTAGTGGTGTGTGCACATCTGGTGAGTATGCTATTAAAACTGTAAGAAGTTATAAATTTTGATTTGAATTTGAGGCATGAAGTTACAGGTAGTTACGTGACAGTTTTCGCCAATTTGGACATAGACTTTATATAATAACTATCCAATTGAAATCCAAAATAAGGTGAAATAATTGGAACACGCAGTCCTATATACACAATACTTCTACCAACCAAAAAAAAAAATAAAAATAGAGGCAATAGAAGAATTATCACACAAAAACATGTTATCTATTAAATGGCATTCATACATCCACAACTTTGTAAAAACATGTTTTTCCTTTCATTTCAAATTCTGAAATATAACACAACTTTGTAAACACATGCAACCAAATGGACCCAAAGGTTCACATATTGGCAAAATGTAGATCACAGAAATTTGGAACTAGATGGGTGGTCAACAAAATAGTACATTGATATACAAAACTCGTGACAAATTGGCAAAATGTAGATCACAGAAATTTGGAACTAGATGGGTGGTCAACAAAATAGTACATTGATATACAAAACTTGTGACAAATTGGCAAAATGTAGATCACAGAAATTGAAATTAAACCTGAAGAGTCCTTGTGGCAAATTCAACACCAATGGTAGATTTCGACTCTAAGCAGAACTCGTTGCGCGTAAACCTGGAAAGTATATTAGACTTTCCAACACCCGAGTCCCCAATCAAGACTATCTTGAATAGGTAATCATACTCATGATCCACCTTGTAGGCCATTGCTTCTTCTCTTTATACCCTCCACAAACCTACCCATAACATAACCAAATCACAATTCATTAAAAAAGAACCAAGAAAAAAACACAAAACAAAAAACCAAAACCAAGTAAAAAACAATTTGTTTCTTTTTTTTGGAAAATCTGAAAAATGAATCTTGGCTTTATTCATTAGGATTTTATTTCTTTCATTTTCTCATTGTTTATTCTTTCTTTCCTGGAAAAACAAAAGAATGTAAGAGAAAGAGAAGCAACTAACCATAAACAGATGATGATTTGGTTGAGGAAAGAGCAATGCAATGGAGATTTTGGAACCTAAGATTTGCAGAGAACTTTTGGGGTAAGAAAGAGAAGAGAGAGAAAGAGCATTTTTCTCAGTCCAATCAGGAGAAACAGAATAAGCGAGGAAATAGGAATTTAAGCGGTCATTTTTAGTACGGAAAATTCCAAAAATACATATGTTATATTCAAATTTTACTAGAATAAAACATTGGTTTTTATTTCATTTGTGGCCTGTTTGGTTGCTACACAAAGATGGTGAAATTAAGATCTCATTATGAACTGGTTCCATTTAGCAACCAAATGCAAAACACTGATATTGATATAAGTTTGGTTTTTTGTAGTGCATAAGCCTACTTGTTCAAACTTTATTTGAAATTATTTAAGCTGGACTTATTACATAATAGGCTGATTTGAAATAATGAACCAAACACAAATTGAGTTCAAGTAGTTTCATTTGTTTTACTATCCTAAAGGACCATACACTAATGAGGGGTTTGAAACATATGTAGACCTTGCATTATTTGTTAATAATTATTTTGTTTCTAAAAGTGTTTTTATCAGCAATATTTTTAAAATTTTATTGCTAGAGGCTATTTTTTTTTTTTTTTGACTTTTCTGTATAGCCTTTTCGTGATGATTGGAAATGATTTTATAATATTTTTTGCAACAAAAATTTTACTTCTAGAAATGAAAAATTTTACTCTCTAAAACTCTTCTACTCTTACAAATTTTTTGAATATGGTTACCTAACTTACCATGGACCTAGATATGAGATGTATACAAAAATAAATAATAATTTGTCACAATCAAAAGCATTATTTTTAAAATCACGTTTCATCATTTTCATTTTTATTATTATTTTTTTTGATAATTAGGTGTGTGAACTAATTTGTGCGCATTTCGATTAATTTCAAATCTTAGTTAATAATTGGACAAACTTCTATTAGCTTTTTGAATTGACTCGAACTTGAGACCTCTTGAATTTTATTCTCAGATTTGTAGTGCCGGCCAAAAATTTCAAATTTGTTCTTGTCATTTTAATCGAACTCAACGGGGAAAAAAGGAAATGAAAAAAAGAGAGAAAAAGGAATGAAATGCATACTTGTACACAAGAACAAAAGGAAGAATAATGCTCTAGTCGTACAAAGACAACAAGGAGGTATCCAGCTGTCAGCATCTTCTTTAGATAGATGTGGCAAACGGGTGAATTTGAGCAGATTAAAATGGATCAAATAAATAAATTTGATTAATTTGTTAATTAATTTTTTTTTCTATAAGGTAGAGGTGGCAAATGAGTGGTTTTTTTTTTGAGCGAGTCAAAATGAGTGTGTTTAAGTGAGTTAAAATGAGTTCCCTATTTAAAATAATCTAATTCAAACTAGCTCAAATTTAAATGGGTTGGATTGAATTGAATAAATGTTAGACAAGTGAATTCGATTAATCCATTTACTTTTTATTACTTTAAAAATCCGACGTTGGATGGCTTTGTTTAGCAGCAGTTACAAAAAATATATACGGTCATTTGTGAATCCAAGGGTGCGGGAGATAAGTTCCACATATTTTCTTGCTATAAAAAGCCCATTAATTCATTAGTTATTTCACTGGAAAACATATCACACAATACAAGTCTCAAGTTTTCTAGACGATGGCTAATCACATACCTCATATTACTACTTCATGGCTTCTCTTGATCAGCTTCACATGTGCTCTTCTTATTACTTGTAGTACTGGGCAATCTGAGGGTGATCAACAGGCATATTTCTCTACTCTACTATGGTTTTTAATTTTCTTTTTTATTGGTTGATTTTTGAACAATGAAGTTCACGGTGACATATTTGTGTAGTGTACTGATAAATAAAGTCGCACAGAGAATGTGGTTCATCTTATCTCCCCCAGGGCCTGAACCACAATTATTTTTTTTTAATTTTTTTTTTTAAAACCATATATTTTGAGTAATCCTTTGCAAGCCCATGAAATATTATTCATTGTGTTTGATTTTAATTTTCTATATTCAATTTTTGTTTTTCATGTATTTTTGTTTTTAGTGAATATTTTTAAAATTTTAAGAATTTCTTAAAAAACTTTTTTAAATGCTCCTTGCTTAGATGTATCTAAAAAGTAAAATATTTGTAAAAAAATATTTTAAAAAATTAATAAATACACAAAAATACGAAAATCTACTGATTTTTATTTTATTATTTTTTTTTTGTATTTTTGGTGTTTAGTGAATTTTTTTAAATATATTTTTTTAAAACAAATATTAAACTTTTTAAATGTATTTATGTTAACTGTATGTAAAAATTAAAAAAATTGTTTAAAATATTAAAAAGATCCAGTGAAAATATAAAAAAAATTAATTTTCTAAAAAATGAACCGTGAAAATTAAACCAAACAAGCTGATTATCTTTCATTAATGGCCCCTTTCCTCAAAACCTTTGTTTTTTTATTTTTAATTTCACTTTGGCCTCTCTTATTTTAGTATTCTAACCCCGCCGGGGCTATCTCATAGCCGACCAAGGTGGTTAGGTCTGAGTCACGCATACTATGAGTGATGCTTTGATTGGTGTTTGGGAAGCAAGTTCCCAAATTTTTTTCTCATTTTTTTCACTAAAAGACAAAAGTTTTGCAAAACAAAAAAAAACACATTCAAACAAAATATCACATCCAACCCTATAATCATTTCACTTTTTCTCTCACAAACATCACATCCAACCACATAAAAACCCAACTATCTTCCCAAACACCAAAAAAATTTTATCTCATAAAAACCTACATCTAATAAAATCTACATAAAAACTCACTTCCCAAACACCATCTATGTGTGTGAGTTGATGCTCCAACTCTTATGACCTTGCTCTAAGTCCTGTTTGTTTTAGGGTATAGTGGGTGAGATGGGATTAGGATGGAGGTGGGATCCATTTAGTGTTATATTTGTTTGTAGAGTTGGGAAATGAATTGAGATGGAGTAGGGGATTAGGATGGAGGTTAGAAAGGGGATTAAGATGGAAGAGGTGGATATAGTATTAGAAAAATAGTGAGGGGATTAGAAATTTTTTTATTTTTTACATGTTGGGCATTTTTTTTTTTAACATTAATGTTTAAGTTTTTGTATTTTTTATTTGTTTTATTATTTTATATAAAAATAATTTAACAATTCCTACACTAACAACTATCACTATCATAAAAATAAACACAATTTTACTTAATCCCCTCACTATCAATCCCCTCACTATTAAAACCCTCACTATGAATCCCTTCCATTTTACCTCTGAAAACAAACGGGGCCTTGGATCAAACCCCCAAGTCTTATGGGATTATATATTTATAACCAAGATATATATATGCATTGAAGTAGGCAATCCTGTTTTCCTCCTTTCATATTAGTTCTGTTTAATTATTTGAAGCTATTATTGAGGAATCCACTTTTTGAGAAATATGAGTTCAATAAATAATACAATTTTTTTTTAGTGGAATATCTTTTATATATATGTTGATACGTTATTTTTATTTTCATTTTTTTTAAATTGCAAGATATT